ATTCTTCCAAGATTTCTGCGACTCAGCCAGCGGTTTTATGCTACGTAACTGGATGGGTGACCGTTCTGTCCAAATACATTTTTTGCTTTTTTTTTTATACATTTTTTTTGCTTTGTTAGTAAAACATTTTCAAATTATAGCACAGAATGTTTCATACATTATTCTATAAGTTTAATTTCATAAATATTAATAGTAAGGACTTGACATTTTTAAAAAAATAAACACTCAATTTTTACTGATTGACACACTATACTCAAGTTTTTTTTTTACTTAACACAAGGAAATATTTAAAATATTTAGATTAATTTTAATCTATTCACATTAGTCAATACCTTAACGGTATGTTGGTATTTGCCTTACAATAAATAACAATTATAGTAATATACCTACTAATACTATTTGATTATTTAATACGATTTAGTATACTATAAATTACAATATAGGTAAGCAATAATTTGTTTACTTGTATAGGTATAGCTGTATGTTATACTTTATACTTACCTACATCTACATGGATACATTCAAAAATCTACATTTTACAAATTACAATATATATTATCACATTTTTTTACACAAGTAATTTTTGTTATTTCAAAGATCAAGTTGCTAGTCGAATGTCAAAATGTTTTGTACCTAATGTTCAGACAAATCGGTTAAAATAACAAAAAAACAGCGTTTAGAAGGAAATATAACATACATAAAAATAAGCGGACAAGTGGCTGTCGTTCTGCTGTCGAGCATGTCGTTGTAATGGATGCATTATATTTTAATTCAATAATTATTGTTTACGAAAAACGATTTTGTGTGAAGACGGTCAGCCTACAATATTCCTAAGTACATTTTATGATACTATTGTGATTGAAGTAATTTATTTTTCTTTTAGCTATTAGTACTACAGTAGGTTAATTCAATTTTTGTCAAAAAAAAACATTTGAAAATGTCATGGTGTATACGCAGTTGGTATTTAATAATTATTGTATTGTAGCCTCCACGGTTTCACCACAACCGATTTGGTTCCAAGCTCAATCGCACACGAGAGCTTCCCAGCAGCAGATTTTTGGCATCCTTATCACGCGCGCAGGGCCCCTAGTGATTTGTTCCACAATTTGACTTCTGTGATCATCGTAGTGATAAGCGATAACAAATAAATGATAATTCCCGGTTTTTTTTAATTCTTGTCATTACCAGCCAGTCATTGATACTTGACGCTTGTTAGTTATTAGTTTGTACTTGGTACTTTGATAGTCATTTTTGTAAATTGTCAACCGGTATTTATTGACTTATTGTCGCATTATAAAACATGGACACTACCATTAAGTGTTTATATTGTGATAAGATCTTTGCTCAGCGTAAATCGCTGTAAGTGCATTGTCGGAAATTTCACGACACAGATGTAGTACCAGTGAAAGATTTGCAATGTGAAGTATGTCATAAAGGTTTTTCAACCCCTAAAACATTGAGTGTGCATGTAAAAAAGTTCCATGATGAAATTGATACGAACAAAACCAAAAAAAATCAAACAAGAATAATTTGCCCCTATGACAAGTGTGTAGTCGAATTATTTACATTTGTTAAACAAAGACAGCATTTGTGCGATGTGCATGGCTTTGATGTGAAATTGGAAAATATTAATTTTTGTGATATCTCAGGTAAAAATTGGTTATTATTTAGTATTTACCAGTATTCCTACATCATTATTCATCATAGTTTTTAATTACAGAATTTGATTCTAGGAAACGAGAAATGGAACAACGGACATCAACAATGTACATACTTGATAGAGCTGCATCAGAATTAAGTGATGGAAATACAAGGCAATTTTACTATTGCCATCGCTCTTACAGTTATCGAAAACAAGGTAACAATGTTAGAGAAATCAAATCTATGGGTAGTAATAAAATTGAACGAGCCTGTCCATCATTGCTAAAAGTTACTATTTCCAAATTTGATAGAAAAGTGTCCACATAATTTTGGAAAACTCACTGTGGGCATGAACTAGAAATTGGTCGAATTCGGTTGGATGATGAGACAAGAACAATTATTGCTGGTAAGTGCTACTTTTTATTTTAAGTACTAATCAACAATGAGTTAAATATAATATTCAGGACCATTTGATACCATTTAATTCAATTATTATTTTAATTGATTCTACCTGCATACTTTTAATCAGTCTTTGGTGTTTTATATTTAATTCTATAGGTATGGCTATGTTATTTTTTAAACTCTGATTTTGAAGATAACATAAATACCCAAAAATAGTATAATATTTATTTAATATTTTATTATAAAATAATATAAATGTACTTAGGAAAACTAAAGGAGGGAGTTACTTTTAATCGTGTGTTAGATGCTATTCGTGAGGCTGAAATATCTCCAGATACTTTTAATCGTTCATGCCTCTTAGAACGACAAGATTTGTATAATATAGCACGTGATTTTAACATAGATTATGCAACCAAACGAGATTCAAATGATAGTATTAGTGTAAAACTATGGGTCACTGAAATGAAA